GGGTCAGCGTATTATGTACAAAAATCACTGATGCATTAACCTTGTTACCATTGCATCCAAACTCCTTACGAGCATCATCTTCAGACGGCTTACTGGTCCTCGTAAGGACCGAACCACTGAAATCTAGCCTGGCTTCCGCCGTGGTCGTGGCTATATCAACCACATATTTACCCTTCGACAAGTTTTGGAGCAGAGGCATACATACGGACGACCGGCTATGGTAGTTTTCCTTGACTTGAAAGCCGCCTTCGACTCTGTTGACCGCTCCAGGTTGTGACACTGCCTATCCATGAAGAGCGTGCCGGCTAAATTCCTTTTCATTATGAAGTCTCTACCGTGACTTCCGAGGCTGTGTAAGGGTCTACCGGAAACTCTCCTGAGTTCCCCACGACAAGTGGGGTTCACCAAGAGTGTCCTATGGCTCTCTTTCTCTTCAACTTATTTATCAAAATGGTCATAAATGACTCCATTCTTTCCGACTTTCCCTATGTGGAAATTCTGCCTGGTGACTGACTGACAGACTTGAAGTATGCGGACGACATGGTTCTCCTTGGGTACGGTGCATTGGCTATGCAAGCACTACTGCACAGACTTGTGCGTAATGCTGTACGCTTCGGCATGTACTTGGCACTTTCAGAGTGTAAAGTGCTGTTGCAGGACGGCCGACACACATCCGGTTTTAGCTAGTTCCGAGCAGCCACTGACAGTGGTGGATCAGTTCACTTATCTGGGTGACTGTGTCACTTCTGGTGGTCACATTAGTGAAGAGGTTACTTCGCCTATCAGCAAGGCCCATTTGGTTTGCCAGAGGCTCAACGAGTGTATAAGGCTGGTCTTACTGTATGGCTCAGAAACTTGGCTTGCGGAGTATTGCTCGCGTTTGGTGGGAACCACAAATGGGTAATGCTGAGGTCCGCCAGTCGCTTTTTGGCAAGAAGCCTTCTGGTGCCTCTCGAGTGTTTGCTAAATCGCCTACATTGACTAGACCATGTCCTCCATATGCTCGTTGACCGGCTTCCTCAACGTGCATTGTACGCCGTAGCTGCACCGTTGGGTGAAACTTCGAGGTGTCTAGTCCATGACATGGTATCGAGGCATGAAGAAACTGACTGAGAGACTTGGTCAGGCTGGTGCGTACCGTTTTCGTGGGTGGGGCATCGGAATAGTCCACACCAGTGGTCAGAGACCGTGTCAGACATGGCACAGTTATGCAGTCAGTGGCGTTGCTGCATTTGGGTTCTCGCATCTGGCTGTTAACTTTCGTTCCATTCTAATTAGTCTAACGCATTTCCTTCTTGCTTTTATTCTCCCTACATTCTATTCGCACACAAACCACTATCCTACCGTTGTTATCTATTATTCTTGCGTGAGTCGTGGTAACTGGATCCACCGCATTTCGGTGCTTGGATCGTAGTACCCTTGAATTGAACTGAAGCATACGAAAACCAGTGCGATGAGCTGAGACTTTAGACCTTGTCGTATCATCGGTTGCGAGCCGATCTTGTCGTGACTTATCGCATACTATATTTCGTTGGCTTTCTCATGTTGAAGCCACTGCTCCACTTGTGAATGTCACGCACCACACGCGGATACCAGTACAAGCTTGTGGTGCTAGATCTGGAGCGAGTTCCTCGCCCCATGTTTTCGAACAGAGATAAGTAAATGTTTGCGACAATCGATCATAAGGTTTCGTGGAGGCCAAATCTGTGCTACAATTCAGAACTGCTGAATTCACATTTCACCACTGTTCGATTCAGAGAACGATTGCAGTGACAATGACATCTCACATATGAAGTAGATTTTTAAAAATGCTACATAAGAATTTGAAGAGCTATTACAGTGTTAACAAGTGACAGAATCTTTTATGATAATTTTGGTTACATTCTTATAAAGTCGAACAGATTTAAGTTTCTACTTGCTCTTACAATACAGTTCGGCTTGCATGTACGAATGCGACCAATTAGTTTGGTGGAAATGTGCGATCTGTAAGTGCTCTCTGATTGTTTCAGCTCATACAGCCTCCGCAGCAACTGTTAAGCCATCCAAGGTGTCGTTCATTATGAAGTTGACGTTGGTCGATGACCAGAAGAAAAGACGTGTGCCTAATGATCCAGAGGTCAGTGATTCGAATCTGCATAGGTGAGAGCGACTTTGCGATATACTCAGCCCACGTGGGACCTATAGAAGTTACGTCGGTACGGTGTGCCGGCGTACTTTTGATACCTTTTTTCTTGATGTAAAACTCAATTTCGACCTAGACTGTGATGATGTCATCTTGTTCTTGCTGTGGGGAGTCACTCAGACGTGGAAACACATCACTTGACCCATGGAAACCGTCGATTGACATCGGACCTCATACTCAGCTCAGAAGGGTGAGTGCCCAGCGTTGAAGGCGGTTGGCTGTATAGAGAGCAATGCTCCCTTTAGAATCGAAGATGGCCGGTAACGGTTTGTGATCTATCACAATAATTGTTTGTGGAATTCCTTCACCGTAAAGATTTTGGTCATTACCTCCTTTCTGGCTTGATGACAGTTTTCTTCGGCCTTTTTCAGCGTCCTAGCGATGCGAGCAGTTGCTTTCTGGAAGTCATTTGGATGGTGTGGGATTACGGCCCTGATCCCATGGCTTGATGCATCTGTAGTGAGAGACTTCAACGTTATGTCTGGCTCTTGATCCAGTCTAGAGATAAGCCATGCGCGAATTTCGGTGCCTTACGGAGACTAAGACGACGATAAATGAGACACTGGAATTAGTCATCCGTCAACGAAGGTTATTCGAAGCGTTCACACTCACAGTTGCTTGTATTTGCTAGCGCCCCGTGATAGTCTGCATCACACGACAATCTTCAGCTACTGATAGCGAACCATGAATATAATTAACGAATCACCGAAAAATTTCGATAAGCTTTGACACAGTTTCATCAAACACGAGGTCCTTCGGCTGTTACGGTATTGTGTGGTCATTGAATCTTAAATGTTCATACAAGGCAAATTTGCCGATCAACAGTCGCACTTTCCAAGAATCAACCTGACGACGGAAATCAGTCCCAGCATTTGAAAGTGCGTATGGGATCAACATCTTAGTTGAATCCGGTAATGGGGTTCAACAGAAGATCAACATAATTTGTCTGCGTGTTTCTCTTCGGCCGGTGGCCGAGTAGTCTGCGCGCCTAGTTTACAGCCCGTTCGAATCCGCGTAGGGGTGGGCGTCCTAGCGGCATACTCAGCCCACGCGCGACTGGCTTGTGGCAGCGAAGCGCCGTTACGGTGTACAGCTGACACATTGTTATTGCGTGTTTCTGAAGACTGAGCCGGTGCGTCTCATTTTCCATCAGCTTCAACTGCGCCTCAATCCGCGCCTGCTTGCAATAACAGCTGTTGGCATTGTCCCACAAAAACTTCCTTATCTTCCCTGTTTTCTTTGTCACCATTTGTTGAGTCTTGCTACTCGCGTGCGATTCCGGTTAGCGCAGTCACGTTTCCCGCGACCTCTCAACCTCAGTTGGGGAAATCAGAAACAAAGGCTTTGACGATAGGGCCTGTTAATCACAACGGTCATCAAACATGGTACACATAGTTTGCGACGCCCGTTTCGATTTATAGGTCTAGTGCATTGGTTCTCAACTTGGAAGTAATTGCCCCCAAGGGTGTATAGTGGAGTTTTACTGGGGATAAATATAAGTACAAGGTCAGTAGTCTGTCACCAGTTAACAAGATCATCCGTATCAAAACGTGTAACTAATTACCCAGCCACTATTGATTAGCCGTCAGTGACTTACCATTAGTGAGTGGTCATTGAATTAGATAATATTCTGTAATAAATTGTATTACCTAAATTACAACTACCTAAATTGTATTACCCAAGCCTGCGAAGCAGCGCAGCTAGATGGCACCTCTATCAGCTCGCTCGTCGGTCGTTGTTCTTTTTAGTCAGGCAGTCTTTCTCCGGGTCAAATTATAGAGTTGAGTGAGCATTAGGGTAAGAGCATAGATCAACCGACCAGATAAAAAGCGATTGCAGTTCTGCAGGGTAGAATAGATAAAACAAGCGGTTAGTGTTCAGGACGTCTCGATACAGAATGGTGGTGGGAAGCTGTCATCCAGGATGGATTTCGAAGGGACGGTTGATAGAAGTGCGAAGCCATTGGCATCTATCCATGTTGATCAGGGATCACATGCCAAAAACAAGGAACCGAATGAACTTGGAACACAACTCACGATGTACATTAACAGAAACCACACTGAATATGCTTGAAATTTTTAGAACTAAGCAATATCAGCCGTCTCATTAACGTACATCACCTCTTGATTATTTAAAATTGATCAAAACTAGGTGTTTTCTTTGTTTGAATTATCAAAACTAAATAAATAAATGGATAAAAGATGCAATAGGTAATTAGTTTTTTGAACGAACGTCTTTGAAAGGTAATTGTTTATAGTGAACGCACTCTGTGGATAACAGCCTCACTACTGGTCTAGTGAGTCAGAAATAAAACAAGCTTTCACCTGACTGTTTTATTTACATATCTAATCGGAAACGTAAAAGCGGAGCCGGCAGCATGTCGATATGCCGTAACAACGCTTCACTGCCACGCGACCATTACCGGTCGCGCGCGGACTACGGACACTGCGAGGTGACTGGAGCCGGTGACCTGTGGGTTGTAAGACGGTCATCATATACCAATCGGTCACTGGGAGATGGAGACGTCGTTAGGATATCTGCTGGTGCACCATTTCGGAAACCAACAGGAAATGACGGACTGTAATTTGAGATAATCTTAAGCCGTTGCCCTCGCCTTTTCTCAAGACATAAGCGGTGAGATATTCGACTTGAACTCGTCGCTTACCTTACTTGCAAATGTCGGACCCACCGATCGAACATTAGAAGTGGAAAATATACCGCAAACGAACACTATGGCGGCGGTTATGGTTGATTTGCTCCTCAATTCGTTCATCTTTGTTCTGGCCGCATAACAGTGCTGTTTCTTTTTCGGTTTCAGATTGTTTTACCGTGACCAAGGGAAGCCCGATGAGAAGTTGGAGGGGATGGCCCGCTACTTCATGCTGGCGTTCTGGACGTGGATGTTCTACCATATAATTAATAACGGTCGTGCAATCATTGTGAGTGAAATTGTGGTTTCTTTAACCCTATCTGTCGTTTAGGGTGAAAATGTATTCCCAGATCCAAGCACTTTTACGGATGCCGAATTGGGCATTGAATAGAATGTATCGTGGTAGTTGTCGCCCATAATTTCCGGCCAGTCATTTTGATTTCTCCTGTGTAAATACATAGCTTCATGTTAGTCTTCCAAATCTTACTATCAGACCAATGTCAGAAAATGGCGCCCCAATAGGTAACAATCGTCACCTATTGTTAACCACGAGAGTGAACCTGATATCGAGGGTGCGCGATATTTTGGGTCACATTTGCGCTTTCCGTCTGGTACGTATACCGAAACGACCTGGAGTCTACCTCAGCGACAGTTTTAGGATGAACTCTGCAGCAGGAATCGTCATCGGTTCGGTGTCTGGTTATCGTAGCGGTCCAAAACGTGGAGAGTGATGTTAAGAAACCGTCGAGAGACCACTCAGGGGAGCAAGACCATGAATCAAGACATTGAATTACGACCGCGAGGCAGATAGCATGGTTGAACAGACATGATTATTTGCTTTGTTATTGTTGTTGAAGGAAGCGTTCACTTAACTAGCAGGCTCATAATACATCAACCCGAGACGTGTTTCTTGTGGCATCTTAATCGACATTTCGTGTTGTGGTGAACGCAACATAATGATAAGTTCAAGTTTCCATGTCGGAATGCGTAGAGTGGAAACACGCTAGCCTTGACGCTCCAGTTGGTCTTCTAGGTGAGTAATCTGATTTTGCTTCAATATTGCGAGAAATTGATCAGCTATGTATAATCTCCGTTTGTTTGGAATACCGGGTGCTGATTAGGTGTAAGTTTAATTCACTAAGAGTAACAACTAACTCAGGTATCCGATGCATCTAGTCCCATTGGAGGAAGCTAATTACCAAACGAATCAATTGTAGGTTAAAATTCTACTTGGCAGTAGCTTGATTTTCAGACTGGATGAATTGGTTTCCCAGTGTCCGAAATGTACGGGGTACTTTTAATGAGGAAAACTTGAACCCTTTTGTGAGTTATCGGATGTCGTTTCGAACGACAGGATAAAAACTATTTGGGTAGGAGTTTAAGAGCTCTTTCCGTCTGGAATAACTTACAGCTGTGTTGAAAAGTCAGTTTGGTCGCCATTTCGGCTCATTCTAGGAGTGTGTCTCCCCATCGAGTTACGCATCATGTCTGCTTGCATGTATGGGAACATTTGCCCAACATCTTCGTTCCTGTACTTATCAACTGTTTTAACAACCTCAAGCAAGTAAGTGTCACGTGACGTGTGGCAGCATCAGTCTAAGGGTTTGACCATACAGCTGAGAAGAGTGACAATGCGGCGTATCGATTATCTGAGTGATTGTTAACAGTAAGCGAAGAAATTAAAAATTAAAATTTCGAATGACCCGGCCAAAATAGAGCAAACGGACGAACAACAGTGCAATCAGACAGCGCCTGTATATAAAGTACTTGGTTACATGTAACAATAGAGGCTATCAATGGATGATCGCATGTTTTCGAGATAAAACAGCTGAAGGAACCAAGCCCGGTGGGGAGGAAAAGGGAAGGTAATACAATGTGAAAATGCTTTTTGTTCTCCGACAATTATCTTAGCTCTCGCTTGAAAGGCATCCGAAACACACTGTACAACTTCTGAGCCTGGAAAGTGTCAGAAAGAGATAAGTAAGTACGAAGAATGGACTTCTTTCGTTGTTACTTTTCATAGTATTAGCTATCGTACGTTGGTATTGGCCCACTAATATTTGATAGAATTTGTTATGAAAGGTTCAAACATAGTACATGTGCCAGCACACCAGCTTTGACTGCAACACAAGAGAGGCAAGTGAGGAGGAGGTGAAACACATTGGCACTAGAGCACGTTCCGAGTGGAAAACAGCGATTTCACCGCGAAAAGAAGCGGCAGTAAACGACCATGGATTGCCATCTGTCAGATGATATGATTCCAGGGTTGGGATGTTTTTAATATACATACTGGTCCTTCAAAAAACTAGCTAGATGCAGAGCTTTCAAACAAACCATTATACGCGTGAACATAACAATTGTACTGATGGGGCTGCCATTGTCAACTGTTCCCGAGTAAGCTGATACAAGGGTTCGACCAGACTTGAGTGTAGTTATGGCTTGGGCTACTTCGCACTAATGATGGAAATGCTCTTACCTTTCTTGGACCGAATCCGGGGCAAGATACAAGTTCATTTTCATCTGCGAGTATCATATCAGCGACTGTCTGAAATAGGACGAAACATAGAGCACTTATTATGGACTGCGGTGCTCATAAAATCGGTCTCGTAAGCAAACACAGCAAATTATGAGGTCCTCATGGCCTTTTGGAATTATTAGACGCTTCTTTATCACGCTTACAATGTCACAATGTTTGAATACAGTACGCAAATGATGCTCGACCCAGACATATCAGTTCGATTTTCCGAACACTATGCATCCAAACTACCGGGTTGCGTCCAGCGAGAAGCGTTTCGTCAAGGCGTCAGGTATCATGGACAATAGCAATCAGTTTGGACCGTCCAGTTCATCTACACGCCGTTTCCAAAATTGTGCTTCACGCGTCTCAACTCGATGCAGTTCGGCAATTATCCAGAATCACGAGCAATGCTGATTTTCAGTAAAACAGACATCCTCATTTTATTAACCACAAGCAAGACCAGAACAATACCATTACAGTTTAAGAGGAATTTATTCTAGTCTCTCGATTTCAGGACGTGCAGAATTTGTAGACCGGGTACCATACACGAGGAATTGCAGACAGTCGGTGGCTTCCTGAGAGAAAACGGTTGCCCAGACAAACTTATTATGAAGCATCTGAGGGAGCGCATGCGATAGACACCTAAGATCATTGCTCCCAAGAAAAAATCTTCGCACATTTATCATTTCAAGCGATTCTGCTGCTTACATCCTATCCCTTAAAGATAGACTGCCCTCGTTCAATGCGCGTTTATCAGTGCTTGAGCTCCTATGGCGCACAATAGGTGAGTCGCATTACGAGGCGCGTATCTCAGAGAATTTGCGAACACATCCCGGTGTGGTTCTGCCAGGGCGGAATGTGGTGCTTACACAGTTCTCTCCTTATGTCAATACAGCCTCTGTTGATGACTTTTGTCATTGTCTGGACGCTTCTCGCAAGGTCTCCGCAGGTAACTTGTACATTGCCGAGACTATTCACACCCACTACCTGAAGCCAAAAATGTTTGCACAGAAGCGACTCATACGGCCGGTTCTACTACCGTTGCCGCCGGACACTGACTCGGCGGTTTGATTGTTATCTAAACTATTTTGGGTTGTTGTACTAGTCTTTTGAGTTTCTTTATGTTATCCATTTGACTGTTCGAACAATTTAAAAATCAATCTCCATCCAAGTTTGACGCTCAAAACACAATCACTGTTATCTAAACATACAAACGAAGATAATTATTAACCCGGCACTAATTCCAGACCTTGATTCCTGTAAATTATTGAGAATGTTTGTAGCTTGGGGTGCGGACGATGGAGTTGGGTTACTCTCCGGACTCGGACACATTTGTCTCTTCGGTTGGGTGACGGACTCATGCATCACTCTGTACAACTAATGATGGCAATAGAGTTAGACCTCTATAGTGATATTGATAATGCGTGAATTAACGGGAATGAAGACGAGAAACTATTGCCGAGCAAAAAATTCTTTTCGGGCAAACTCTCATCAGACCAAAATGTTTACACAGCAGGTCTTACAAACATCAAACCAGGTGTGAATTCAAAATGTATCACGATTCAACAACCGTTTGAACAGCGGTTGTCCCTAGTAACTGGCAACGGTTACCCGGTGCACATTAGGAGGAAGCGATACGTAAGAATGAGTGACGGAAATGAATACATGCGAATATTCAGTAAGAACATGAGACAGCACCGGCCGAGAGGCAAAATGATGAGGTGGGGCGGAAACGAACGGTAGCAGGAGAGAGTGACCGAAATTCCACACGGGAAATCTTATTTGATGCTAGATGAAGGAGCGAGATGGCGTGTTATTTGGTTTACAATACTGAGGTTTGCCATAATCGATTTTTGGTGGAAGTTGTACGATTCAAAGTAGCGGAATGGCACTAGACCTTGGGCTACTGGATCTCCGATTAGAGATCGTGATGTATTAACGAGCCTCCGTAGGCCTTGTCATAGCATCTAGGACATCGCCGATGGTGTGACATGAATTTAGCAAAATCGGTGGTGATCAAATCAATACGAGATAAGTGTTGGTTTAAGAATTGTTTTCGTATAAGCTATCATCGGACCCAAACGCCTACATGGTAGAGATTTTGTGTTATTAGCGTCAAATTGGGCTGAAAATTGATTTCTGGATTGTAAGTATTTCGGCGTTGTTCCAAGTTTGATTTCTAGATTGCTCGAACAACCCGGAAATAAATTTTCAGCCCGATTTGACGATAAAAACATAATCTCTACCGTGTAAATGTTAGGTTCTGATGTGAGTTTACTCGAAAGGAATTCTTAACCCAACACTCATTTGGTCACTGGAATGGGAATATTTGCTTTGCTGAAGATCTGCATTATCCGTGATTCACTAAAAATTTGAGATACGCCGTTTTTCAAAGCGCACTAGGTCTTCGACTAGACGCGAAGCACTGCACATCATACAATACTGGTTTCGGTTCAAGAATGAGTCGGCGAAGCTGTCGACTGCGGCGTATCGGCTACTAATATTTAGATCGAAGTCAAACAAACGATGTGAGCATGGTGCACATTGCAAACCTCGAATTTATTCACAGCTGAGATAGCATCGGCCTTGGTGACAGGTCGAGCAGCCGTGAGAAAGTCTGTGATCTGAGCCAGGCGATCTGTTTCATTCGCAGGTTCATGCATCAGACCATCCGGAGGCTTGTTCTCCAAGGCTTTGTAGGCTTCCAGGTAACGGGCTGCCTCTTCAGCACTAAAAGGAATATAGAGACGTACAGACGTTAGCACGAAATAGTTGAAGATTTAAAAAAATGAGCAAAATATGGGCACGAAAGGCAGTATTCAAACTATGACACCCATCTCAATTTACTGCGAGAAATAATTTGTACACTTACGCCTAGCTGGCACATGAGGAAGTGGAGCAAGTCTACATTAAATGTGCTGCTTGGATTGCATTTGATATAGCGGGTTTATGAGACAGTCGGCGAAGGTGCCTGCGAATAACGATAAGTTTGCTCTTGTGGGTGCTCTAACAAAAAGTGCGTGTAGTTCTGTTGCGATTCGACAGCACTTTGTGGTGAAAGCTTAAGCCAAGAATCCGAACCGTCTCTCTGATTAACTGCGGGTGCAGTGACAGCACAACAATGTATAAATTAACCATGAATAACACAAGTAAAGTTTATTGCATACCATATTGGCTTTTGCGCAATTGGGATAAAGGTCGCCTCATTTGCAGCATATAACGTAGCAGATATGCCCACGCGTGTTTGCCACTCTCAGCAAATTTCGCTTTATCCGTACTACGAATCATTGTCCCAACTCCCCATCCATAACACCCACGCCACTGGCTACTCGGTAGAAAGTGCTGAAGATTAGTGGCTGAGACATGCGGTGCCTTGGTCGTAAGTTCTCACCGTATGGGTCAGAAGTTTAGGTCCGAGGGTAAGCGGCACATCATCATCAATACACGTTAGTTGTAGGTGAGAAACACACCTCAGCTAATGTGCCACAATACAAAAGGTAGGATACAAAAAGTTACACCACAAAAATATTCAAAAGCAGGGGATATAGTGTTAAATATTATGTTCTGTAATTCGCATGAGATCGGAATTGGAGGAGAATCTAAAAGAAAGGGGGATGGACAAAGAAACACAACACAAACGCCACTGCGGCCGGCTCTTCGCCATATCAGCAAGTGTGTCCAACCAAACGTGTTCATCGTCCTTAGGACCCCAGCCAGGCAGTCGAGATGCACCAACCGACGCCAACTTCCAAGTGAGGGCCTTCATTCCGCTCGACCAAGTCATCGCTTGACCTCCCCTCCTCCTCCTCTTCCAACCGCATGCCCGGCGCGCAAACAATGCACGTCGCGAGAGTCGGTGTACTGGCATGCGCAACACGTGGCCTGGCCGTCGGAGCCTGGTGTGATGTACTGGTGCTGAGCGGTTCACTAGCTCTTCCTGCATCAAATACGCGATGCCGAACAGGCTCATTGCTCACGCGGTGCTCCCACTAGACATGAGCTATGCTGCGAAGGCAACGATGGTCGAACGTGACTAGCCTGTGTATGTCTGTCGACCTGATGGTACAGGTAAGCGGCAAAACCGCATTAGCATGTTTTTCCTACCGGATCGCTCCCAATTCAGGTTAACTACCTTTAATGTTCGGATGACCATGCAGATGGGATCACGAGTAGTCTTCGTTCGCACCCTAGAAACAACAGGCTTTGACATTGGCTATATCCGTCTATAAGACTGGCGCGACGCTACGGCTGACCACACTAACTGCAACTTCCGTTGGTATTTTCACACTGCACATATATATAGACTCAAATGCCTAAGCCGCTAGTCATGCCGATGTGGACATTGGGCTAATCACGCGCTGAGACTGTACCACTCGACTGGATCCCTGTCAATATCCGACACAATACCACTGCCGAGTCGCGGAGTCGACACACGTTGTTTTTTTCCCGACTTGATTAAAGGTGAGTTCTACCGTCAACTCAATGATCTCCGGAAAAAGCGCTGCATGGTGCTTACCTGAGACCTAAACGCGCAAGTCGGCAGACGAACGTGAACTGGGTAGTCAAAATGGCCATGATATTCACAAGACAGATAATGGCGATCGCCTACTTCAGCTTTGCGCTGAGCATGGTCTATTTGTCTCAGGCACCAACTATAAACCGAGTGTAAGCGGAGAAGACAGTACCCGGGTCACTACCATTCCCTGAAGAACGAGAAACCTATTTTCTGGTGTCCCGATGAATGTGAAGCTCATGCCCATGGTTGGAAGGAACGTTACTACATTTGTCATATGCTCTCATTCGATTACGTGATCACGAAATCGATCTAAAGGCTATCCTCATCACCAAACTACAGAGAATATGGACCTAAGGTGTTGAATCTTGTGTTCCACTACAAACACATGGCGGAGAACACACTCGAAAGTTGGCACAAGTAGCATAAAAAAGCTCCTCTCAGGGCTACACCAGAAGGCGTTCAACACCGGACTCCAGTTAACCAAAACAGCGAGTTTATGGTAAGTAATTCCCAGAAAGAACGATTAGGTGCGACTCACAAAAGTCGGCTTGGGCTCGCATATGATACCCGCACCCTTGGATATGCTAATGACGTTCGAAGCCCTTATGCGTATACCAGTGCTCATGGCCTGTTCAGTAAATCATCTCAGCTTCGATCTCGTCAAGCCTGGATCTAATCATGATAACAGGCCTGGCTGCACGACAAAATCACTGATGCTCAGATCGCTTTACCAGGCATATCCGGCCACTGATCGCCCCGCTCCCTGGACTGTCCCTTTGGATCCACCTTTTTGCTCAGAAGTCGAACGTGAGAGCACACTACTGAAGTTAAATAAAGCCGCAGGACCAGATGATCTACCTGCAGCCCTCTTCACATTCGGGGGACCTGCTTTTGTGGATGATTTACACGAGTTACTAATGAAACTGTGGGAGCAGGAAACTGTCCCAACAGACTGGACGCACTTCGTCATAGTTCCAATTTTCAAGGGTCTCACGATCGGAACGCGGCAACTATAGAGGAATCAGTCTGGTCTCCATCGCCTCCAAATTGCTTGCCTCTGTCATCCTTCACAGACTGACTAGCACTCGTGAAAACCATATTCGTGAAGAGCAAGCCGGGTTTCGTCGAGTTCGTGGCTGCATTGACCACATCTTCACTTTGCGTCAGTTGTTGGAGCGCCGTCACATATATTGGCGGCCCATCGTTGTCGTGTTCCTCGATATCAAAGGTGCATACGATTCGGTGGATAGGCATGCACTTTGGGACTGTCTACTCAGGTAAGGTGTATCTGAGAAAGATGTAGATATTATCCGAGCATTATACGCGCGTAGCTCGGACAGATTGAGGGCTTACGGCAAGCTGTCGTCGCCCTCTAATTTCTCCAGCGATGTGAGACAAGCATGCCCGCTGTCACCTTTCCTCTTCAACTTCGCTAGTGACGAAGTCATGGAAATCGCATTCACAGGACACGACTTAGAAGGTGTGAATCTACTCCCAGGAGAACGACTTCTTGACTTGGAGTATGCGGACGATATTGCCCTAATTTGTGACAGCTTCTAGACGTGCCAAGCGGCACTGGACAGATTAGCACTGGCTGTCCGTCACTTCGGGCTTTGCTTCGCACCCTCGAAGTGCAAAGCGTTCCTCCAAAATTGGCCTGGACCGCCTCCTACGTTGACCTTTGGTGGGGATCAGCTAGAAGTCGTTCAAAAATTCAACTATCTGGGAAGTTGTATCGGCGCCCGTGGGATTGAAGATGAGATCACGAACCGTGTAGCAAAATCTCGAGGCGCTTTTGCAAACCTTCGCCACTTATGACGCCGGCGCGACATCACTCTCGCCCTGGAGGGTAAGAATGTACAACGCAGCGGTACGTTCGACCCTACTGTACGGTTGCGAAACCTGGCCTTAAGATCAACGGACCTAAAGAGCCTACTTACGTTTGATCACCGGCGCCTTCGCAGTTTAGCTCACATCTTGTGGGAACACCGCGTGAGCAACGAGCGTGTTCGACGCATTGTTTGCGGCACAGGAAAAGGAATTGAACCGTTCGGAGCCGTTATTTCACGTACCAGGCTCCGATCCGCTTTGTCCACTGTGTTACGCATGTCAGCCCATCGACTCCCGCGACGTGGGTTGTTTGCGCGCCGGGGATGTGTAAGGAAGAAGAGGAGAGGTGGCCAAGCGATGACTTGGTCGAGAGGAATGTAGGCTCTCAATTCGGAGCTGGCCTCGATTGGAGCGTCTCGGCTCACTGGTTGGGGTCCGAAAGACGAGGATCCGTTTGGCTGGATACACTTGTTGATATGGTTAGGAGCGGACCTCAGTCGCGTTCGTGCAATCACGATCTCATTATTAATATTTTATAATTTTGCATAGGAAATTATTTTTTTTCCTGCTGCATAGTAGCCGGCAGGTAGCTTACCGGAACGATGCCCATCCGTTACCGGTAGCTCAGCTGGCTTGCACCTGTTGCATTTTATTCCTTTTTTCTTTTAGGTATTGCGGCACAGTAGCTGAGGTGTTTCCCACCTTCAGCTAACGTGTATAGTGTGTGTGTGTGTGGGTGCATGCCAGCGCACCGACTCTCGCGACGTGCACTGTTTGCGCGCCGGGGTTGCGGTTGGAAGAAAAGGAGGGGAGGCCAAGCGATGACTTGGTCTGGAGGAAAGAAAACCCTCACTTGGAAGTTGGCGTCTGTTGGTGCATCCCGACCGCCTGGCTGGGGTCCTAAAGACGATAAACACGTTTGGTTGGACACACTTGCTGATATGGTGAAGAGCCGGCCGCAGTGGCGTTTGTGTTGTGTCTCTGTCCATTCCCCTCCAATCTCTATCTCATGCAAAAAGCATAATATAACATTTGACATCATATTTTTGTGGTGTAATTTTTCAGTCTCTTATCTTTTTGTATTGCGGCACATTAGCTGAGGTGTGTTTCTCACCCTCAGCTAACGTGTACTGATGATTATGACGCACCGGATATTGCACGTGGGCCACTTCCCTAGGTCGAGGCCGCTGCTGCACGTTCGCGCACAAGGCAGCAGCCGCGGACACCGATACGAACTAGTGGTGCCGGATTTAAAGCGCTTCCCTCAACTTCCATGCTTCGAGTGTTGGAATATTGGAACAAATAGCCGGAGACGCTAGTCGAGGCGAAATCGGTGTCGGAATTTAAGATTCCTCGACGCCCACTTCACGGATTACAGTTACAGGTAGCGTATCGCACCCGGATAAGATGTAGTGCAACTGTAATATGCTGCCAGCGAGCAGGATCAGCGACGTGATCACGCGCAGATGCTCGATCTAACCACGATGGAACAACACAGATTCATATCTTCTCGCTCTCTAATTTCAGTATTCGCAATGAATCTACCGATACACTCTACTTTTTCTTGATACACACATTTTACATATGAAAAATATTCAGTATTTGCTCTCTTATCCATAGTAAATCCATTGCTCCATCTTGAACGAAGAGGTCATTATAGAGGCTACTGCCCGCATCGCTAAGATCCATTTGGCTTGTCGGCGTCTCAGCCGCCACAGGATGGCGACCGCTAATGCGTGTGCTGGAGACGTTGCTCTTGTTCGCTAAGAGCATTCAGAGATTGATTACCATTGATCTCGGATCTTTGGTGAGTGAGTAGTTGGTGATAAAAAAGACTTTGAGTTTGGGACAGGTTTCGATTTGAGACGCGCGTTTCGACTGGGGATGTCGCTTGATGCACCAGAAATTGTGGCCCGTTCATGACAGTACTATGAATTAACCGTGCCATCATGACAAACGACCACTCTGATACACATCTCCAGGCAATATACCAACGCAAGCGAGGTGCTCCCCTGAGCGGCCCATGGACAAAAGGAACAAATTGTCCACGTTCCTGGCCATTGGAGGAAGGAATGATACGTACGGCCTGCAATTATCTCTGGCCTCATTAGTGAATGGACAGATATGGTAAGACACGAAATTTTTTCGTCACTGTTTACGAAGTAGTCGTACATCAGACATGTGGCAACTCGATAGGACCACTTAGGAGCGGGCTGTATCTGCCCCTGGTCATTTTTCACTAAGAGAGCTGATACCATCGCAAGTGGTGATGAAGTGACTGAAACCAAATTACACAGGTGAGAAATCTGAGCATCAGAACAACCAATCCGTACTAGTTGCATTTCGAGGTATTATCCTATGCATGTGACTAGGCCAACATAGGTTCCATGAGAACATTGGAATCGGCGGCACCAAATACATCAGGAGCACAACACTTGTTACTGTTACTAAAGCTCGAGAGCACCCCAATATCGCAGACTTTTACGCCTATTCCCGATGAGTACACCGACGCCAAATAAAACTGAGGAGACAAAGAGTTTGCTCTTTGCCGGTCAGGCGCAAATTACGGGGAGACTGAAAGTTCTAAAATGAAACGGTCATAGGACGGAAGCATGGCTCAGCTTGGAAGTTTGATAATGAGGACAGCGGACGCGAAACGGAGAGGTGCGTGCGATTGACGCTCATTGGCCGCCTGTTTCTAAAGTGGGATTAGTTTTTGAGCATAGTGAGAGCGGTTGGTAAACACGTCGACGGGATACGCAGGTGCTTGTTTCGGGGCCTTTCATTCGGAGCTTCGACACAAATCTAAACAAGTAAGATAGTCAAGATCCGAGTAAAGTGGAGTGGTGCTAGTCACCACTATGCCGTAGAAGTTGATTGACATCCGGGATCAGTAAAAACACCAGTTATGAGAAATTCCACTTCAGATTTCCCTTAAGAACTCACTTCCAAGCCAACATGAGGGTTAGTTTTTCCGAAAGACAAAACTTGCACAGTTCTTTCAGCGGATAATGTGGATCAGTCTGAAAGAGATGAATAATCGTTACAAAATTTCCATCTTGGAGAGTAAAAATGATGAAAAGGACCTTGTCCAACGGTACAGGCAGATATCGTGGTGGACAGCACTCGGGCGCAATTAGGATCAGGGAAACTACTGCGGGGGAATGAGGTAGGACGCATCAACATGCACTAGTGCATGCTCAACAATGAGCTGACGGAATTCTATTTGTTTGACTTAAAGCAAAAGAGCAGAGTGTAAAAATACTTATTCAGACCATGACAGAGGCGGGACGATTGAAACAAATAGGCAGGCAACGCAGTGGCGTGGCAATGGTTGCAACTGTTAAGCGGAGTAAAATAGAATTACTTAGCTCATCACCAAGAAGTCTTAAGTCGTCACAGATCTGTTAGTGTTTAGGACAGAAAGCAGCGGAATGATCAGCAGCTTTCACACTAACGAAAAATGCTAGCCAACGCAGTCTATCATCAGAATGGAAACCAGCCCGTGATGTAACAGCCAGCCATCGGAAGACTCCTCACCAAAGCGCCATTATGCTCATTCTTAGTTGTACTGGTGGAGCAGTAATGTTGTCAGTTCTCATAAAAATTGCACTGGTAATTAATGTGGTTGTATCAGCCATGATGACGACATCGCCGTGATCAGTATACCGGGTTAGGTATGTTTGGCGTGAAAACTTTATGGATAAGGAGCAAGATGGGTAGCGGTTAGACAGAATTAGTTGTTTGCATTTCGTATTGTCTCCTCAGTACCATTAACAATAACCGTTATGCAACTATATACTTAAACATGTGTGTGACCGAATAGGCATAAGGTGAAAAAGGAACACGTGCCAAGGTGGGTTCAACGTGAAATTGACCAGAATCCCTGTCCCACTGAAGTTCCGTGCTTGCGAAAACCGCCAGCTTCCTCAATAGGTAAACACCTACTGACTACGTGTCACCGGATAGAGCTTGGATCAGCGTTCACACTTGTATTACGTCACCCTAATCCCCGCTTCCTCCGTTTCGCCGAGGCGGTTGCGATAAGCCGGATGAAGCCGGCCCTGTGTGTTCCAAAGCAATTATTTATCAGATTAAGACTGCCGTGGACATAGGTGTGGAACTTCCGTCATTCATTTTTCACTTTATGCTTATTCGGTCACACATGTTTAAGTATATAGTTGCATACCGGTTATTGTTAATGGTACTGAGGAGACAATACGAAATGCATGCATCTACCAGTTTTCGTCTTCTTACCGTGCTTTTCAGAATTAGTTGTATCTGAGAACATGAAAAGCAATCGATTTCAACCTCTGGCGCCCACGTACCACTCACAATATACGAATGGAATACCGGATGAGTAATGCAGGTTGTAAGCGACGGAATTCGCCTGAAAGGCACGAGCAACGCGTTTCCACTGGGATCGAATCAACAGCAGAGATGGAACTGCGCAACGGTAACCAACAAAAGCATTTCCAACTCAAATTAGTTACACTGACAAACACCGGTCCGAGAGTCAACAAGTTACACTTAAGAGCGACTGTGGCACAAAGTGGCGGCACCACAACGCACAACGTTCTTATGTGACGGGCGGAATGATAGGATTGGCTAATTGCACGAATAGAACGAGAGACAGGGGAAGCGCTGAAGTGAAGTGAGATTTCTATTTTGGGCTCTCTCATTCCTTGCACGCAACGACGCGTTTCGTCCTTGCTTGGACTTCTCGGCGCATAATGTTTGGCGGTTATCGTCATTATCACTAGGTCATTATGCTCCGCGAGCAGCACTTGACACATCGGTAAGATGTGGATTGTCGGTATTTTGGGTAAGATTTGTTTGTCTGTGGCGTTAACATTGGTGGCCACAGATGACCGATAGACAAATGATCAGTGCGGAACAAGGGTGTAGATGCAAGTGGTTTGTCATGGAAAGGTGAAGTGGACTGTGCATGCAGTTCGTGAGAGAGTGTACGCAAAGGAAGGTGATAATCGTGTTAATGAGCCGTTTGGAGATTGGGTTCGCTGATTAGAACCACAGGACAAGGTTGGCACGTGTAGACAGGGAAAATAAACACTGAAGGGATCTGCAATCGCGCCATTCCTATATCGTCTACACAAGTATCCCTCAAGTAGTACCGGAAACAAACAGTGGCGTATCACGTGGGTGGTTACGGATGCTGCGGAATGCAGTGCAAATGAGTAATTAATGCTGTTCTGTGTCGTCGCTTGATCGTAAACATCAGCCTCTCACCATCAACACTGTCGTGGTCGTCGTCGTCATGGATAAAAATGCATCGGTACTCACAAAATGAGAAAGACGCTATTGGTAAGCCCCGTGCACTATAGTATGTACTCTTTAAACGCCTTCCCGATGGACTTTTATCTCAATGTTATTTACTTTATTCCCACTACCATTAAATGAAGACAACAAAACCTACCGCACGTTGACTTTAGGATCATAGTTGATCAAGTAGGCCGATCCACACGGAATTGATGGAAGGCAGAGCGGAAACAAAAAAGTGCATCGATGGGGTTTTAGCGAGACAACTTACCACATCTATTTGGCACAACAGTACAGACAGTTGATAGTTTTGTTTCGTCTGTCTAACACGTTTGAAAATATATTCTGGGTTCAAGTTGTGATATCGGAGGCTGGAATGGAATACAAAAGTGCACAACCGCATCAAATGGCACAAAAGATAGAAACGAATACGGAATGCTTAAATCGTTGGAGTGCCAAACCATCCAAATACATATTGCTAAAGTTTGTAGCGAATGTGAACTGATGTGTGACCGCAGAATAACACGGCCGCAATCATGGCACGTCGCACCCAGATTCGAGGATGGGGTTGCGTATGGATCCAAACATCTAACCTATACTGTAGGGAGTGATCAAACACTTGATGCAGACATATCAGTCGGAGACAACTTATTCAATTCATACTAGATACCAGTGGAATTGTGCCACTGGGCGGGGTTGTGAGGCAAATGCCCAGTTAAACAGGTTCGATATCGCATCGGGAACGGCTCAACCTATGATGAGTTCAAGAGTGTAAAGAGGTCTATCCTTCCGCGACGGAATACTGCTATGAAACCGGGACGAGAGCAAGAAGATGGCCAGTAAGTAATATGATCCACAGGTAAGCAACTACAGTCGATGCGATCCGCAACGGTAAATGAAGAGACAAAAGTGACTACCCAACCGGAGCATACCTGAGAAAATATGCACAGTGATTTCGTCCAACAACGTAGTCCGGTTCAATAACTGCATACTCCCAGGCAACGTTGTGTATGTGTTTGAGAATCGGATTTCCACGCTGAAAGACGGGTAGATCTAGTGTGAATAAAGGGCACAAAGGTATTTTACAACACTATTCTCACTTTATGCTGCCAACTGAGGCATAAGTAATGCAGATAGCATCCATAAAACGAAAGGTGTCCGCTCAAACAGGAACCAGTTTCCGGCAAGATGTCACCGATGCATGTAGCGATTCTCGTCAACTAGGGTGACTAACGCCGCTTGTTTAACGACAAGCACTGACGGTACTCGAGGTTATCGATCAAGTTCAGAGTAGAACGATGTCATCCATCGGCGCAAAGCTACCGGAATCTGTCATTAACTGACAAACTGGTGTAGTATGCTCTAAGAACTGAGGCTAGCTAGCAAGAATCCGTATCCATGACTAAGCATGCAATGAGTTCCATATTCTCCGATTTTCGTAAAAATGATCAGTATGTAACAAAGATTCGAAAAAGTTTCTGAGCGGATACCCTTGTTGACCTATCATCCAGCAGTGAGGTTGATTACAGTCAGCCGGTCGCTAGCCAAAGAACCGGGGTGTACCGGGAAAAAACGAACCACCACATGGATTGTTTTTGAGTTGCCGCAAATGCACAGCGCGAAAATGCCAGTTCATGGATAAGAGAAACCGCAGATGAGTAAGATGGTATTTATTTCGACATGTGTTAAGTGTTCCTAGACAATCCGAGATCAATCATTCTAATGTTAACAACAAACATATCCCATATGTCGTTCCATCCGGAGGAGTGGGTACCGCTACAAGCAGTGAATGACCTGCAACTGAATTCACTGTTGATTGGATGTGACTATCCATAGCAGTTTATTAGTTCCAAGGGACAGCGACTTCAAAAAGTAGTAGCCTTGAGACCAGTATTCACGAACAAAGATGCTACATTGTTTGGTGGCGAGAATTCTGTAAGCTTGGAAATCAAATGCCATCTCATTGTGCCCACAAGATGTTAACGTGCGAATACAAATACTCACCTGTCGCTGATTGACCAGAATCGCGTTCCCACGATTCATTTTGTGAGGACTGTGTGAAATCAGGATGGAATATGAGGTTTGATAGGATGATCGCCATTTTTTGGCGTACTGCGCGTTAAGGTCACAAAAAGGAATACGAAATGCACCACATATAGAAAAAACACTTGTTGTGGACCGAAATACAGTTATCACACACTGGTGTTGGTTAGAAATATCACGTTTTGCTAGTCAACGCAAGGCTGTCGGATATCTTGTGCTACTTAAAGAACAGTGTCTTAAAGTCGGCAATCTCCACACTCCTTGAGAACGACAGGAGACAAGTTATCCAATTGCAACCCGATTAATTTTTTGTACACTTCTAGGCAGTGCACAGAATGTGGGTTATCTGAGGGTAGCTGTAACTGCAAAGGATATGTCAAAGACTGAAATATTATCCTGGTCACAAAAAGTGAGGTTCAGTTTTTCCATACCCGGAGATGAATTCCTTTTTCATATTTCTCGATAATTATTCTTTCCATGTGTAGTTTGAACATAGATATGGTTGAAGCGAAGCAATTCGATTCTTATATCAATCGATAGAGACTTTGCTGATGTAAGGTCCTTGTTTTTTTAAAGCCTTTTGTTTAAGTCTACCCAGTCGTTTGAGATGCTGAGACGAGAATCTATCGGCACGGATAAAAAATGTTTCAAGTGGAAGACAGATGTCGAGGCAGAAGTTTAGGTAACTAGTTAACTGGTCACAATACTTCGACACATCCACGTCGTAAAGTAAATTAAATCTATGGAGGCAATGGTTACACGCAGTCGCTGAATGTTGTGGGTGTAGAGATTGTCTCCGTCTGAACTTCCGATCTTTGCAACGGGTGGTAACGGGAGATAACTTTACGATAGCATGATTACAGCCTTCAAGAGGCGCCCGATTATATACAGAAAACAAATTCAGGTTGTTAACAAATACCATGCCAAGTGTTACATCTAACCTAATTGAAGATTGCACTATGTGTTTTAGTCCGAGGCGCGCAATGAAGCTGGTGTCAGCTATTCGAGGAACGCTGCTGTAAATCCCTCGTAAAATTCGTTGACACCACAGCTTGGACATCTGGGTGAGACATAAAAATTGGGCAATAAAATCGAACGATAACCGTTCAGCAATTTTGGTTTGCACTTCACGATTAAACAGTGATGCGTTGCGAGCTGTACTAAAAAATTGTTTCAATCGACGTGCATTATGAATAAATAGTATAAATGATAAGGCTACCACGGCGGCTATTCGGTATACCTTGGTGTTCAACGCGAAAAGAGCGAACTTCGTCCAGTTCCACAAACGCGTTTTCAACATAAACATGAAGACAGGTTTCCACCAGCATAATGACGCCCAATCGAGAATACTCACGACATTTAATAACAGTTTCGACGTCTTCTATGTTTCCAAATAGCGATCGAATATTAGCACTGAGTAAAACAAGTAGGTTCATGTTTCCAATATTTTGCCTTCGAAGTGCAACCTTTCCTGCACAGTGTTCCTGACACTTTTTGATTTTGTTTCGTATAGTAGGCAAACATTTCAAAGTATCGCTCGTGTAAACGATCATGTCCTTGAATGCGGAACAAAATATTGAAAAGTTAATGCAAAGGGGTTTTGATGCAGGGCCGAAAAGCATGTGTTAGTAAATCCGTTGGATAGGAATTATACAACAAGGACAAATTTGTTGGCCTCGCTTGGTGCTGGTAAGATCCACTCAAAGGCATTATACTTGGTTGCAACGAATTTGGTGGATACATTCTCTCATTTTTTCAACAATTTATCGATAAGATGCGGGTTCCAGCAAACTGGAAGCACAGAATCGTCACTCACACTCACTTACTCGTAGACCCGGCCAACTATCGTCCGATAATATTCCTTCCGGTGCCATCTAAGTCCATGTAGGCCATTATAACCGAGGATCTCATGAATTAATTGAAGCGATGTAACCTTATAGCAACATAAGAATATGTATTCCGTCAGGACTGGCCTTGCACCACTAATTGTTCGCTCCATTTGGGTTAAAGCTGTCGACAGTGGAATAAGCGTTGATACAGTTTATCTGGATTTCTCAAAGGCGTTCGATTGTCTGAACCACCGCATCCTCTTTCACAAGCTTCAGAGCTGTGGGATCGGTGACTCGGTTCTCGATTGGATAGGTAACTTCCTGATTCAAGCCGGCCCGTGATCTTAAGGATCACAAGCCTGCAGTGTAATCCGTGGGCGCGGATCCGAACCTGCGTAGGGACCGGCAGACCATCGTAGTATCCTTAGTCCACGTACGACTGATGGTGGTTACGTGGCAGCGAAGCGTCGGTACTGCGTGTTGGCGTACTGCTGATGCCTACTTCTCTTTCATTCAGCTACATCTGAACGTGAGAATTCGCGGCGCCATATCTTACCCATTCGATGTTCAGTACGAGATGCTACCTAGTCCAGTACTGAGTTCACGCTTATTGCTGATTTACATAAACTATCTCGCGATTACTTCCAATTTCTTGCTCTTTGCTGACAACGTCAAGATATGGCACGCCATCAAACAACGGGTGACCACCACGTAACGCTTTAAGATGATCTTGATACGGTATACGAATGGGCGACTCAGAATCTGCTTCATTTCAACGCAACTATGTGCACGACATTGAGTATACGTCGTCAATCCGCTTGCGAATACATGCCGAGAGATCAAGTTATGCAGCGCGCTTCAACTAAATGAGACCTAGGGATAATAGTACAGGAGGATCGTAGCTGTTCATGTCAGCCGAAGAGAATATCGAATTAAGCCAACCTTGATCTTTTGGATAGGGTATTCCGGCGCTCTGACCCTTCATTTCTCCCTCAAATGCTGATTGCATACATTAGGCTCCATTCGAAATACGCCATCTACGCCTGGTAGCCCAGCACAGGCACGACCTATCTGCACTTTAAATGACACAACGGAAAGGGACAAAGAATGTAAAGGGTCTGAGGCTGAAAACCTTCGGGGGGTCCCCGAGGACAGTAACGACGCTTGCGTAGTGATTTGATAATGACATCACCGTCACCTTCTGAAACTGAGTCACAACAAAACTTTGAGAGGTCAGTAGCTAAAGCTGGTCAAACATTAGAGCCGTTTGGAATGCCGCCGAAATTTCTTTTCTCTTCGCTTGTGCCAGCCTTGAAACGTCCTCCAATTAGGAGGACGTGGCTCTGTATCACGCTTAAGAATTTGCATTACGCTATATAGCCCTTTAGCTGTGGCATAAACGTAACACCAACAGTCATTGTGCCCAGTTCCACTTTCGGTATTTCGTCACTCAAAAACTGCTATTGTGGTCTATCCTTACCATGTAGCGAAACTGAATTCACGTATCGCATCAGTCCAAGGGAGTAGCATAAAAGTGGGCGTTTTCCTTTCCTTAATTATTTTCTCATAGAATACGTCAACTTTGACTGCTCTCTATATTGCATTTCGTGCACAATTTCAATTCCTATTTCATGCTATGGTTATTCAGCAGTGCATCTAATTTAGCGGACGCTTAGACGCTGATGGTTCACATGTCACGATTTCTCAGATTTTGATCTAACCATCCTATGGTACTTGTCAAGCACGTGATTTTTCACTCCTGATAAACCATTTTGTACTGTCCAATTTCGCCTAAATTTGATGATAACCTTAGTTGCGTAAAGGACGGAGTGAACCATACAAGGTTCAGCAGGTGAAGTGAGCATGAGTAGACCCAGTGATAGCTTCCCTCGATTCTGCAGACGGCACATGTACAGTAGGCGTACAAAAGCAACGCAGTTTGGCAGGTGAACACTGAAATTGTGTAACAGATAGTGCTAAGCAATCAAAAAGCCATTCGGACAACAAATGATCACCGCATTGGCTCCATCCTGGGGAGGATTAAGTTGGTGCACCACTGACATAAAAGCAGAGAACCCGTTGGATGTCACAAAACAAAAATTCTCCACCTGGTTAACATATTACCTGTCACCATGTTTGGGTTCTGCGACGTATGGAGCTCGTGATACGGTATCCGTCTCGGTCACCTGGGCAGGCGTACTTAGATAGTTGTTAGAACCGCAAAGCTTGCCGAAGGAGTTCCCTTGCATCGAACTCTCTTTGGAGGCTGACGACGGAAGACACCACGAGCGAGGTAATACTGGGTTCGATTCATCTCGGGCTGCATTAGTAGGTGGTGATTCCCGTGAAAGTGTTTTCTTGTGCTGTTTATTCGTTGGCTTCTGTGTGCTGATTACGTCACAGTCAAGGTTTCCCTCACGATAGGCTTCGAATAATCGGAAAGCTGCCTGTTTGAAAGGGCGCATTTGGTATATTCGCGTGTGCATTCAGTACATTGGTGAGTAGATATAAACAAGTTATGGACGGGGAAATCTCATAGATGTATTCATAGTATTAACCATGACTGAAATGACTCGAATGCACCTACAATTTGAACATGAGCGACCTCAAACCCGAAGGATATGATATGGAAAAGCTACTCTATTAAGCGCTAAAGTGTCTGGCATCACACTACAGAATGCTTAGATAAAACCGACTTGGAAGCAAGCTACGGCATTGTGCCGTTAGGGACGCAGAACATTCTTGGTAATTTGCTGCCATATCTAGATCAACAAATCATGTTGACACCGTGTAACCAATACGCTGAACAAATTAGCTATAGTGTTACAAATATAACGTTCAAACGACTTCACCGCACGTCTAGTAGCTAGATACGAAGCAAGATGATAAAGGCCCACGCAACTCAATGACAAAGGAAAAAGTTACTGCATACTGACCAAACGCAGTGGTGTATCAATGTGGGTCAAAATCTACAATAGAAAGTCACGAAAAGCACCATCTAAGCTAATAGTTTGCAACTACTAATATAATAAAGTCGCTTACTGCGGATCCTTCGAGTGCTGATGAATCGAGCGAATCATCCATTATATTTCTGCGCTGTGTGATGAGCAGGTCAAACCCAGAGAATAACAGGGCGCATCGTAAACATCTAGTGGAATAGAGAAATGATTGTATGTAGTAATAACACAAGCAGATGCTATATATTCAATCCGTTAAGTTGTAAGAACCCAAGGTGCAAGCGGAATTGTTTAAAAAACATAGCTTATACTAGGTGCATCGGTTCTGACCAACGAAATATCCACTCATCTGCGCACTCCCTGTTGGAGGTGGAGAGACGCTGGTTCCTTTCTGTGTCTAATGGTTGTGTGGTGCGCATTGCTTATGCGTCCATTCCTCGTGCGCATACAACCGGTTCCAAAATGTTCCTTTCCTTTGGGGGAGTCATCACGGTCTGTTGTTGGGTGGTTGTCGTTTCGCATTCTAGCACTACCACACTAGATACCTGGCGTAGTAATGTCTGCCTTTAGTCCGCCACATACCTTCCCTCCAAAGTGCTCGTCCCAGCTGCCTTCGTTCGGAGTCTTTCTAACCGTCAGGGATACTCAATGAGCGAAAACGCTTCTACTCCAACTCGTGCCACTTCCTTAACTCGCTGGCATATATTCGCCGCGAACCTCCTTACCGAGCGATTGTATACACTGGGCTTCGCCGGTTGACCACCTCGTACGGTCCCTTCTACTTCGGTAGGAGTTTCCTCTCCCCTGGTTCACAAGTGGGAGCGCGTTGATGTTTGTATTTCAACGAACCGATCGGAAACTCGACACTCATTTCACCATTGTTAGTTTGGGACTTCTCCGTTTTCTGCGCCTGAGTTACCTTCAGGTTACAGTGGGATGCATTCCTGTTATAATGTGTCTTGTTGGGAGATATTCGGCAAGTTGGTCACATTCCACTCGCTAGATCCACAGGTAGTCGAGCCGCTGAACCGTATATTAATTGGAATGGCGATTTCTTTTTGGACCCCTGTTCGGATGCTCTATGGACCAGCGACAGCAGTGCTAACGCTTCCTCCCAGCCTTCCCCCTTTGCCGCTAGCCACTCTTTATTCGTTCTATTGTTCAGCGCCGTCAAGTCGTTTGTCTGCGGGTGGGATGGGTTGTTCACAATTTCTTGACACCAAGTTTCTCCAAGCAGTTCCGGAATTCCTCACTCTCGAAGCACGGACCCTAGTCTGTTAATATGGCCCTTTTGATTCCGTGATCCGCTATCAAACGTTTCATAACAGGATGGGTAATTATGGTCGCGCGTTGATCCGGGATTCCCGTTGCTTCATTCCAGCGCGTGAAGTGCTGCGTCATAACCAAGATGAATTGCTTGCCCTACCTAGTCAATGGAAACGGTTCCATCATGTTAATCGACCATAGTTCACTAATTTCGATACGGGAATCGACAGCACTAGTTGTAGTGCTCCTCGACAGGCGGTTTTCAAGAGCTGACTGCTTACACGAAGGCACGTTTGCCTTAACGTCCCTCTTTATGCCCGACCAACACGCGCGTTGTTTCAGCAGATTGTAGGCCTTGGAACAACCGACGTACACCATCTAGTGACAAAAAGTCACCAGCCTTCGCTTTAGTTTCTTCGGAATAACAGGTACTTAGTATCCACATCAGAATCCTCGCTTTTCAAGATTTCCCGCAAACGGTCCGAGCTACTTGTGTTGGCTCTTGTTTAAAATTGATTGGCTAGTTATTAGTAGAGTGATCACTTTGCGCAAGAGTTTGTCGTTACACTGTTCGACCACCAAATGTACCGGATCCTGCTACAAAAGTATACCATTAATACGAGAAGTCACACTCGGTAGGTCATGTTCGTTCATCATGCGTGACAACAAATCTGCATTTTGGTTATCCTTTCCCGGCACGTGGTTTAACGTGAAAACTGATTCCTTTGGGCGCAGCGACCATCGCGCTAGCTTTCCTCTGGGGTCGTTGGCAGACAATCCATTCCAAAGGCTTGTGGTCCGTTTCGACGTGACTCGCCACTAAATAAAGTCACTGCCCCTTGCTTCATGCTGGCGAAGCATTGTATTCCAGCAACCTTATGCTGTACTTCTGGGGAGCATTGGGCCCCTGTTTGACAAAGGAACAAACAAAAGGCGTATGAACTGAGCAATCAGTCACCGGCTCCCAATGGGCGCGATTCCCTGAATTCGCTCCGCTGCCTTGCGGGCAGGCTATTCAGCCAAAGGCTCGGGGTGGTGTCCCCTAAGTCAACACCCTACTTCGGCTTGGGCAACCGGGTAGTATCTCGCCCTCTGAGGAAACCATGGACATTGTTGTGTTGTGTTTTATTTTACTGTTTCTGTACCTTCGTTTGAATCCCATGGTTTCTGATGGCATTATGTCTGTTAACAGACTTTTGCAAATATATATATATATATATCGACGTGAAATCACTAACCTAGCAGATATAACCGCCATTTGTCCAACACCTAGACGATTGCGAGACATTCGTTCTCTATGGTGATTTTCGTTCTGTCGGTGTCAAAATTCTGCTGGCGTACTCAATCGTCCCATGGCTTTGTTTCAACACCGCGCTGACTCCGACGTCGCTGGTATCTGTGGCCACTGTAAAGTCCAAAAGGAACTTTGATGTATCCCCACCTGGATTGCTTACTTGGAGACACGGTATCTCTATTCCCCAATTATTGTGCTCATTTTACATTGTTTTACTCTGTGTGCTACTATCGGTTACCATATTGTACATTTATTCTTTTCACTCTCGATCACTGACATATCGTTGACGTTTCAAGGTCATCCATATTATTTTGTTACTGTGACACTGCCCAACTACTCGCAAGCTGCCGCACGCTTTACAATTTCTGCCCTCACGCTACGATTGCAAAAGCTATTCGTAAGTCATTTATTGTATTTGATATGCCTTATAGAACCGCGGTTACAGGATAATTCGTCTTATTCTTCTGCCCAAACCGTGCGTTAAGTTTAGTTTTATTTGTTCGTAGTTTCTAGTTTGGGTTTTGTACGACGTACTTAATTTAGGCTTCGTATCGTTGGTACAGCCACCGTGAACCTCTTTCTAGCAGTGGGCAATTTCAGGGTCAGCTCCTGCCTTCGCATTTTCTGTAGAATGCGACCAAAGGCTTCTGCAGTCCAAGTGAATTTCCTGTCCAATTTCCGTAGATTGTACAAGGAGAGGCCAAATTGTTGAATTCCTTGACGAATTTGCTGTAGTAACCAACAAGGCCCAGGAGCGCTCTGAGGTAGGGACTGGGGTGCCTTGTATTGCCAATATTTCCTCGGGCAGTGGCTTCAGCTCATCTTGTCCCACTTTATGGCCCAATGAGGTGACAAGTCTTTCCAAGCTGGGACTACAGTCCAGTTATAAAGAGTCCCGACTGCTGAATCCGTTCAAAGAGTGCTTCGAGATGATCGCTGTGCTCCGCCTCTGATTGACTTTACACCACGATATCATCCTCGTATATTGCCACGTTCTCCAAGCCAATCAGTAAGCGAAGCATTAAACGTCGAAAGGCAAATGGGGTTCCGGACGCGTTCCGCGATTAGCTGTGGCAGACCAGCCATGAACTGATCCACCAGCAATTGCTGTTTTGACGGTTGGTCCATTCCCGACGAGATCCGACCCAACAAACCGCTGGTGTGAACTGCAAACACGAAAGGATCCTCACTTAACCGAAACCGTGCTGCCTTGAACCGCCGCATCGACTCCTGGTGGTCAGGCGGGCTGTCCTATGCGGACGCCAATGTATCCTTTGCGGTGGCCCACTCCGACTTGACGGGGCCACTTCGCTCTGCACTTCAGGAAACTCCGCAGAGCCATCATCTTCGCCCGGTCGACCTTGACTCCCACTGCCTCCGCCACATCCTCGAAGTCCTTCAAGGTCTTCACATGTTCTTCAACCGGCTCCGGCCAGGGGATCATGTTGCACCTCGGTTGGTCACGGCACCAATGTAAGAACTCGAGGTGGAAGCGGAATTGTTCATTGTTCCCAACAGCACATACTAGGTTCTGACCAACGAAACATCCACTCATCTTCGCACTCCCTGTTGGAGGTGGAGTGGCGCGGGTTTCTTTCTATGTCTAGTAGTTGTGTGGTGTACATTGCGTATGCACCCTTTCCTCGTGCGCACACAACAATAGTTCCAGAGTGACCCTTTCCTTTGGGGGAGTCATTACGGCCTGCTTTTTGCCGTTTCGCCTCCAGCCAGTTCTTTACCATTGATAACTGGCGCAGTAGTGTCTGCCTTTAGTCCGCCACAATGTCACCATTACTGGGAACAAGAATATTCGGTTGTGAAAGCAACATGCTAAAGTGAAGAGAACCCATAAATTAGCGCAGTGGTTTTCGCATCTCTGATCAAATCGGACACGATGGGTGACGGTCCCCAATTACTTCTAAAGCCGTGCATATCAGACTGGCCGACGATAGGTTGGAAGAGGTTGATGATACCCTAAGACCCAACCCCCAGAGAAAACATTTTACGGTTTTATAACCTCAAGTCAACTGGGAAAAGAAAACTAGTACCACATGCTATTGCTGGCAAGAGAGAAGAATACATCTGTGAATTGGTTAGCTACCACGCAGTTCAAGCTAAACCCCCTAATCTGTTGTTTATCCACTGGAGTTCTCACATAGTATCATTTAACGGGATTGACAGTTGTACACCTCTTGTTCCAAATCGGCTATGGACACAAGCCCTCATCATCATCAATACATGTTAGCCGAGGGTGAGAAACACCTCCGCGGTCACACTATTAAGCGGCACCTGCTACTGGGTATCTTTTGACGGAGTATTGGATTCAAAGTTAAAGTTGACAACCCGTGTCCATCTCGAAGTGAGAATTAGAGCAGTATAACTTTCCCACGTGCTTCTCATTTTCTGACTTAAATCAGTCGCACAGACCCTTCAGTTTAACTTGAGGCTAAGTCTGATTTTTATTTTACATGATAATTTTTTTGCCTAGTAGTCGGCTGGTAGCTTTCCGGAACGATGCCCATCCGTTGCTGTTACCTCAGGTGGCATGCAACTGTTGCATTTATTATTTGTTTTTTTTTGTATTGCGGCATAGTAGCTGAGGTGTTTTACCCTTCTAGCTAATGATGACGTC